TTCATATTTTTGCGGTTTTAAAAAAAAAAAACATATGGTTCAGATTAACCGTAATTACATTGAACCTTATGGGGAAATTTGATTCGGGATGCGACCAATTCGGGTCGCGACCAGAGTCGTGGAACGAATGAAGTTCGTGAACTGAGGTACCACTGTATATCACACTGCCATAATATGATTGTATTACATTTTGGCTCAGTGTATAGTGTGAACTTGGTTGTTACAGTTTACAAATCTTGGTTTACTGTTTAGTGTATTATGTGGATCCAGTTCATTATGACAAAAACAAACTGGTTGAACAATCCTTAATTCAGATTTATGCATAATTCAGTCTAAAGTAAAAAACCATTGGAAAAGTGTAATTTTATTTATTTATTTGTCATGAGTAGATGTAGCCAGGGAGAGGTGGTCCCTCAACTAACCCAGCTCCACACCACGTAGGGTTTTAAAGGTCAAAAGCAGCACCTTGAATTGAACCCAGAAGCAGACCTGCAGCCATGCAGCTCATGGAGCAGAGATGTAACATGGCCATTCTAGGAGTATACATAACTGCCTGTGCTGCTGTTTTCTGTACCAGTTGAAGCTTCCAGATGCTCTTCAAGTGCAGCCCCATGTAGAGGGTGTTACAGTAGTCCATTCAGGAGGTGACCATGGCATGGGTAACTGAGAGTAGAGCCTCCTGATTAAGGAACAGGCACAACTGCTACACAACACAAAGTTGCCACTTGTCAGTTCATGTTTGGGTAAATCAATTTAATATATTAAATTGAGTATAGAAAGAAGCATTAACAGTAAATTATCCTCAAAACATTGTAAGATGTACACAATAGAATTGTGCAATACTCCAGACTTGATCTCCAAAAACAACTCTGGAGGACATGGGAGCAGAAACAAAGAACCTATCAAAGACCATCCTAGTCATTCATAAAAATATTTAACAACACAGGGCTGTCAGCTCTCCCACTTTGTAGTGTGGTAATTAGAATAAAATATGATCTAACAAAATATGATAATGGTATCTATATTCCTTTGAACTCTGGTTGAAGGTCAGAATTAAAATGTGATAAATGAATTAGTTTATGAGAATAATTTTGGCGTAAATTTGAATCTTCTCTCTCTGCAAAAAGATTGCAAACGTTTAAATGTATACAATCAATTATATATATTTGTGATTTGATTGTGATTATATACACAATCAATGATATATACACACACATACACACACACACACAATCAATGATAAACACACACACACACACACACATGCATGCACACACACACACTCATACATTAATTCATCCATAAAAGAAAATTGTGCTGGATGATTTAAGTCTTTGCAAATCCAACAAAAACATTTTAACATCTTATCCTGATAATTTTGTAGACTGTATTTTGCAAAGAAATTCAGCCTATAATAGATTGAGATGCATTTTTTAAAACCAGAACTGAATACTTTCTGAAAGCTTTCTCTAGCCTAGTGCTTTTTAGAGTAACTGGATTTAAACTCTCCTATTATTGGAGGATTTTGTAGTTGAAATGAATCACATCTGGAGAGCCCCAGGCTGAAGAAGACTATCTTATGATCCTTGTAATGATTAATTGAATTCTTTTGAAATATAATTATCTTCGGGAGTGTTCCATAGAATCAGCAACTTTGCTGTTTACTTGTTCTCTTGAAAACTCACCACATCACTATTATGGAAAGCTTTAAAAGCTATGATATGAGTTCATAATATTTTCTGAGCAGCAATTCCCATTGGAACTGAATGAAAGCTGAGTTACCATATTTGCACATTAGATACTTCTGGTAGAATGTAATGGTAGCACTGTCTGATAGTGGAAGATATTTTGTGAATTGTGCAAATTGTGCAAGGGTATTGTAAGGACTGCATGAATAAATTAACACATCAGAAGCCAATCCAGAAAAGTCCTGAATTAATATGCAATTTCTTAAGCTGGTTTCACAGATATGCTGGACCCATCATGGCTGCTTTTCTATTTTTCCATAGAGCTATTGTATGTTGATCATATATATATTATTTTGAAGTAAAATGACATAGATATTCTGTGTTTATTCTCTGCAGTCCTGCATATAGATTTTATGTTTACGTAGTGATAACCCTGGAACATTTTGGAGCTATGGTTTGCTTCAAGCAATAGTTAGTAATCTGAATATGGTCACCAATCCAAAATGGCTTTATATATGTAGGCTAGTGTTGGCTATCAATAACTCTCCAAACCTTTACGTTTCCTAATTCTATTCCCCAACATCCTTTTGGATCAAGAAATATTTGGATTTTTTTTCCACCATAAATTTCCAGGTTTAAAATCCTTGATCCTGCAAAAGAAAATGGTGTCACTCTGAATTTGTAATAACTTAGCCTCAAGCTTCATTAAGGATCTATCCATGACCAAAGGTTAGATAGCAGTCTGTACATTCCTACTAACTTGCTTCAGAGTTAGCATGTCATGAACTCAACTGTAGAGTGAATTCACACATGCTGATTAAGTTTGTTTAACTATAATTTGTTGAGGAAATTGGAACTGAGTGGGGACACACAATACTAAATCATAAATTATGGCTTACAAGGCACAACAGTTGGATTAACACAACACATTAAGTCTCTGCTCTTATATTTGAGATGTTAATGTATTATTTAATTAATTGTAAGATTTTATTTATAAATATAAATATAAATTATAAATTAAATAAATTTTAAAACTTTTGAAAATTATAATGATAAATTAAATAAGTTTAATTTAAATAATTACATTAATTATTTAATATCTTAAATTAAATTTCTGCTCTTATATTTGAGAGGTGCCTAGAATTACATCCAACTTATGCCACAAAAATTTATGTATTCACCAGGAATTGAGCTTAATTTGGAGAAAGCTTTGCTTTACAGTGCCATTTCCACTTCTCTGAACTCTTCTGCTTCCCTCTTATCATACTGTAAAAAGATGAAACTGCTGTGGAAACAGAAAATGTTAGCCTCTTTCCTCTGCAGTTCTGATTCAAACTGTTAGATACCTACTGGCCATAAGACAGATCTCAGCCTTCTAGTCAATTTGTGTTTGACAATAAATCCACAAGAATTCCCAATTATTTAACATTAGCAACAATAAAACGATTCTTTTTTGTTTTTCCAGTAACATTACTAATGCAAACAAAGCTTAAGATAATCATAAGTAGATTTTTATGTGGAAGGATTCCCAGTTCCCCCTTCTACACAAGGCCCTTTGTGGCAAAGGGGCTTGTGTAACTCAATGAAGCCATGAGCTATGCCATGCAGGGCCACCCAAGATGGACAGGTCATAACAGAGAGTTCTGACAAAATGTGGTCCACTG